TCCGTGATCATTTGAATGTGTTTGAGTTTGTCATTGGCGCATTTGCTTTTGTATTTATCTTATATCGCCAATTGTGCATTGCTCATTTATTTTATCCACTATCTAGTTCATTTTGTTTACTCTTGTGTTAGTTTACATATCCTTGCATATATCATATTGTATATCTCTTTGGTAGGATATATCACCTTGTGTTAGTTTTATATCCTTGCACATACATTGCCTATATCTCTTTGTTAGGATATATCTTGTTGTTCATATTGCTTATCCTAGATCATATATCTTGTTGTATTTTATACTTGCTAGGATAACTTGTTAATTATTTTTAATTAGCATAAAATCAGATTAGATTAGCATAAGACCCTAATTACCCCCCCCCTCTAGGGTCTAACAATTGGTATCAGAGCTTGGTGCTCTTTGATTTAAGGTCTAATTGCCTTGAGTTAAAGATCCAAGTTATCTTTTTGTGCTAATCCAATTTTTGATTTTTGTATCTTGCTTGCATATATACATTATGGATATGAACGATGCATCTTGTTTAGGTTATGCCATCAATATTGCTCTTAGATTAGATAATTCCCCCTATGCCCAATGGTGTTTTAGATTTAAACTTTTTGTTCAATCTAAATACTTTGATTTATGAGAAATTATAGATGATGCTTATATTGTGCTCACTATAGAGAAATCCAAGTGGAATAAAAATGATCATCGTATGTTTACAATGAATAATATTTTGTTAGAATATTTGCTAAATACTCTTGATTCATCTATGCCTAACAAATTTGTTCATTTTGATAGTGCTTACACCTTATAAAAATTTATTGAAGCACATCAAGAGGACTTGGAGGCGATCCGATAAGCTTTGGAGGATCCCGCTTCAAGTTCAAAAGGAGCATCATGCACACGGCCACTAGGCGATCTAGGCGATAGCCCTAGTGAGGTTTGCAAGTTCGAATCTATTAATGATTTACCTAATGATGAACTTGCTTATGCTAGTGATAAATTATTGCATGCCTTAGTGATAAATTATTGCATGCCTACAAGAAATTGCAAAATGATTTCATTAATTTACAAAGCAAGCATGAACATTTGAAATCCGATCATGAGTCTTTAACTTCTAAGTTTGATATTATTTCTAATAAAAATATGATCCTTAAAGAAAACAATAAAAAATAAAAATCGGATCATGATTCTTTGCTTTCAAACTTTGCCAAGTTAACTCATGAAAAAGATAATGCCATGTTAGAAGTAAAGAACATACAAAATGATACTGCTTCTTTTATAAATAACTATTTATGTTCTACTTCTAAAAGTGCATATGTGCCTAAAAATGAAGACTTGAATCTTATGAAAAAATACATTTCATCTTTAGATTTAACTTTGAAAATATGCTTTGATAATCATAAGAGGCTTATGGATATGTGTGCCAAGTCTAAGAAATCATCCACTCATCATGCACACATATATAGCAAAGTTTACAAGTGCTCTATTTGTGGCCGTAAATGCCATCTAGCTAAATTTTGCTATGATGCACACAAACATAAAAATATCAATGCTCCTTGTGTATCTCATGTAGCTTCAAAAAGACCACCTTTGTTGTAAAAATATGTACATGATGTTTAGCCCGGCTAAAATTTACATAAACTGTACAATTCAGTAATTTACATAAGGGACCTTCTTTAGAAAAGGCTGGCAAAAAAGGAAAACCTTTTTTTTTTGTAGGTGGGTTGCCCATTGGGGGGAGCGCTGGTGTATGAATTTATTGTCAAATAAACACTACTACTTTGTACTACATGTTACATGAAACTTTACCCCTTTCATCTCTTAACTTATTTCCCTTTCTCATCATTAACCAAAAAGAAGAAGGGGAAAAAATAGAAGAAAAGAAAAGAAAAACCGAGCAAGCAAACAAACAACACCCCAAAAGCCCAAGACCCTTCAAACCAAAACTGATTTGTAGTTTTTATCTGTTTTTATATTATTTTTATTCTCTCTCCGATTGTTGATTTACTTAACCTATGTTATAATGATGAAATAGGAAGGAAAATTAACAAATTAGTTTTGGTTAAGTACTGTCGTAAAATTTACCGCTAAGTTTAAGAGGTTTTCAGTAAAATTAAACAAAAGAAAGAATTTTTCTTCAACATGGTATCACTTTCAATTATTGGCAAAACATCAACCATGTTATCTGGACACAATAAGTAACAAATATAGCAAAAAATTTATATCCAAAAATAATATTCAGCAACCCGGTATTCAAGTCAAAACACATTAAAACCTTGCATTAATGTTGTATTTCTTAATACAGAAAGTGACAAACCCACGCGTGGAATCCGCTCTTTATGAGCTTGCCATATTTTTCAATATTGGGCTCGTCTGTTAACTATTTTTGGTGTTTTTCTTATAAACCCCCAGTTTGATCCTGAATTATTTTGCCGCCAACTCATCTTTGAAATCACGTAGCATGCTAGCATAGTTACATCGAAAATGGTATGCCAAAAAATTCAACCTTTGAGAAAAGCCAATAAAATGATGTCATGTGTATTAAGAGACTCCATCAAGAATCATAACACCCACGCTCGAGTTTGGTCAGTGTAACAACTCACCTCTGCTCTAGCTTGGACACTGTGATCTGAGCTCTTTGTGAATGAGAAGAATAAGATCGAATCACCCCTGATGCGAGTTCACGAATCATAACTAACTTGATTGAGGGCATGATTTTCATCATTAAGCATTATTCTACCCTATGAGCTTTGGGCCAATATAACTATCTTGGTTAATTAGAGAGGGCTACGTGGACAATTTGGTTACACATGAAACTTCTTTGTAGGTCATCTCGGGCAATAAGATGACGACATATGTATCGTTTTCTCTTTTTAAATCTACCACTTCTAGTTAATATAAGTAGTTAATATTATCAAGAAAAACTTTAACTTTCATATTCTATATTTTCCCATGATATTTCTAGCTTTTTTTTTAATTCGCTAGCTTAAACATCTAAGGATTCTCAACAATCGATCTTGATGTCTTCTAATAATTTGTTAGTTTGTAGAAGGTGGCTTAGTCCAGAACAATATCAACAGAGGAACCAAATGGATGTTCATTATCAAATCAGCTCTTCAAAGATCATCGTCAACTCGTTTCAACATGAAACACAAAATATTCCCAATGAATTATTTTTTAAACCCTCCCTCAAAAGGTTTCCTTTTGTGAAAATCAAAATATTGCATCTAAACCCAGATATAGCTTATTAATACACCAAAAATTAGTAACTTAGATCTTAATACAGTAACTTTGATATCAGTTTTGCAACGGCAAAATGGCCAGTTTGATATATTTTTTAGAGGCTTGATGACATATTGGTATATTTTCTTTTAGTTTTGTCAGATTGGTATAAATTTTCGACACCGGCGCCATATAGGCCTTAAATTTGGCCGGAGCTACTATTCCAGCCAGGGCTGATGGGATTTTTTACAAAAAACCCCCTCCTCAAATATAATTTCCTGCTCCTAACCCCCCCTCCTCCTTATGTCCCCCTCT